AAAAGAATTTGAATTTTGGTTTTAATTAATTTATAGAAATATAGAGATGTTTAAGTGTTATTTAAAAACATGATAATCTTATTATTTATTATTAGATTGTGTTTAAAACGCTTGAGTGACTGTACTCGTAAATCTATTTATACTGAAATCGTACACAAACTTTCGTACAATATATAGCCAATATTTTTTGTAGAATTTATTGCAACTCATTTTTCTTGTTTATTTAACGTTTATAAATATTTTGTTCTTTGAAACTTTGTGGTAAAATATATAACAACAATGAGATATTTTAATATCTGAAGCGAAAAATGAATGTAAAAATGTAAACGATATTATTTTAAAACTAATATGAACAATAACATTAATTTATGTAACTAATTTTTTTTAGTTTTAGATTTTGATAAATGTATAGGTTTTACAATGATATATGCTTTTTTGTGACTGCTATCATCTTTTGAAACGGTAAAAATGTCGCATTTGTTTACCTGGAGGATAATTTCTGGCAGATAACTGAATCTAGTTGTAAATTAGGTTCAGTGAAAATTGCAAAAACTTTTAAAAATAATTGAGCTAAAAAAACATTGAAAAAAGAACAATTTTTTTAAATTGTATAGACAACTAATTTTTGAAAAATGTATTTATTTTTTTTTGTATTTCAAAAATGTAAACCATAGAAAATTAAAAATTTAATTAAATATTTAAATAACAATTTTTAGATAAAGTTAAATTTTCAAAATAGTTTAGTTCATTTTATGCTATTTAAATACATTTAAAATTTAAAATTTTAAAATTAAAATTTTTTTTTTTTTTAATAATACTTGTAAATACATTTTGTTACAATTTTTTATGATTGGTCACTTACTTTTATATATATATATAATGTAATATATTCAGTTTTTTTTATATGGTTTTTTATAGTATTTTAAATCTAGTAAAAATATATAGACATAAACAATTGAAGTTTAAGTATTTATGAAAACTACCAATTTAAGTTAGTATGTCATGGTTAAAAATATTAATCGTAGACGCTTAAATTTAAAAATATTTAAAATAATTAATTTTTTTATTTTATGATGGAATAGAATAGTATAAGGCTTGCTATAATACCATGAACTTATGTATACCGTTCGATGGAACGTGATATTGACTTATTAAGTTAATTACACTTGAAAAAGTACACAGTAAAGCAACTTCCATGGTTATTAAAAATTATGCCTCGTATAATACGCGTGTACTTAGACTTGTAAATGCGGTGTTTCAAAAAGCGATATCAATATTGCAGCTACGGTATAGCATTCCATAAAACGTATCATAGTCCACCGAGGGACACAAACAGTAAAATATACTGTACGGGGAGGTATTGTATGTATACCTACCAATAAAGTAATATTTGCAATGTGACTGTAAAAAAGAAAAAGTCTTTAAGACCAATGTCTCAGTTGATTACCTTTTCAAACACGATGGTGATGTATGTTTGTGCGACAAACGAGTATTTATATGTTTTCTTGTTTATCGCGAACAAACACCGGAATTCCAAACCTCCCTACTCATATTATACCGTACACGCGATCGTGAGTTGTCGTTATTATCATTATTATTGCTATTTTTTTCGACCCTTGCTAACCCGCACCCCCTCTCACACCCTGCCAGCGTGTTCATTACATTTTGAAACCTGTTCAAACAGTGCTTCGGTGGCTTAGAGGACGCTCGTTAAACGGCTCCCGTTCGGGGGCAATTTATTGTCTCTGAATAAATGTCTCCCGAATTTATTGCTCGTAATCTTTTATCGTTTCGCTACGAGAAAATACAATTTGGCGCGACCTTTAGGTAAATACTATGTAACATAAAGCAGCCTATACAGTATTATGGCAGCGATGGCCAGACGGGATCAGACTGCGTTAGCAAAACTGGTATATTTCAATAGTAATTCGATGTGACTAATGTACGGATAAATGTGGAGCGTTTGAGAGCATTTACATCATGAAAGCGGAAGAGGAAAAAAGGTATTCCTTTGGAAGAGATTTCGCATAAAATGTCAAGTCAATTACCAGCACTAGTTAAACGCGGACGCCATGTACCGTCGAAATATTTAAGGATGCTCATGTGAAATTTCACATATCATTATTTTAGTAGGATGTGAACAATGCATAGTGAATTTAAAATTGGAATGGTATAATAATATAATATGTATTATATAGAATTATGGTAAAAAAATAGAAAACATAAACTATACCTATAATAGGAACATATTTGTTTTTTAAATATATGAAATATTTTATTAATTATATTTTTATATCGTTTTAGATTCCTAACAAATCGATTAAAATTATATTATTTCTACTTTTTTACTAAGAAAAATGTTCCGATCATCAACTTCAAGGAATATATTTGACAGAAAACTTTGGTGGGTGATGAGTAGATATTTCTCTTTACTTTTAAAAGTAAATATATAAACATTCATTAAAATTATTTCAATATCATTATTAAAATAGTTGTGTGTTGACTAAGGTTATCAAAAACTTATACCACCCCCGCCCAGAATTGTTTTTCATCGAATAAAGTGATTGATCATTAAACTCAAATATATCCGTCATCTATTGAAGTGATCTACTCAGTGATGAAGTACACTCTACACCTATTGTATAGGTTACACGCATCAAAACGAATTCCTCTTATTCGACGGGTTTTTTTAATTGTAATTTTATTTCGATTTTGTGAGTAATGGATTTAAAACCAAAAATTCTTTAGGCGAAGTGAAATATTTATTTTTATAAATATTTTGAAATTTGATTTTCATTCTAATATTAAAAACGGTTTGTTCGTTATTATGTGTATAGCATACTTATTTAAGTATAGCAAAATTCATCTCGGCAATCGTGTGCATAGCATGAGCGCTAAACGTGTGTCGTTTATGGGGGATGCATGACGGATAAATTATGGCGAACATGTTGCCGATTAATCTGTTTTGATGAACGATTTATAGGCTTATCATAGGCTCAACTAGCTCTGTCCAGACTCGAGATGGTTAGATTAGGTTACGATAGTTTTAAGACGACAGTTCTTATCATTAATACGTCGTCTCTTCAAAATGTGAACTAAATAGGTAATGAATTGCTGACAAACGAACCGAACATATAGTATTTGAATTACCGGGAAACTTGCACTCTCTGTAGGTACAACAAACGTCGATTGGCAACAGTATTTGGTAGCATTTTTTTTCGGTATTTGGTGGTATTTGCAAATTGTTATTTTTGGGATTGTTGCTAGTTTTTGTCGGTTGCTCGACATATTTTCTAGGTAATTATGTCAGTGTACAGTAGCCGCCACGCAATGGTAATCATCATTATTAAAATAATAATTAAATGAAGATAATACATTTTTAACGAGTGTTACGTAAGAATTTTTTTCAAAGTATCAAATAGTGAATTTTGTAACGGATTAAAATTAGAAAAAATTTAATCACATTTGAAGATTGATTGTACGAAAAATATAGACGATTTATTTAATCAAAATTATAATAAAATACGCCTAAGTGAGTAAATGTTTAATACAGTGTTTAATACAAATTGTTTAATATTTTGTGTTGGTGGTAATTCTAGTTTGTGACGCACGTAGTCTTGTTAGTTTAAAATAGAATTGTTTTGCAACTACTATTTAATATTGCGGCTTAAAGATTTTGCGAAAAACTGTTCAAAGAGGTTTATTTATTATTATTTATTGTTATTTTTAATAACTATTTCTTAGTTATATACACACTGATTGTAGTATATTTATGTTCGTTGGTTGTAAGCAGATACGTTAAAGGTATAAATTATTATTTATGTTGTAGGTATGTAAGACCCTTATTATTTTTAATTATTAATATGAGATTATAAAGAAACGAAGCGTGGTATATGGTACATCATGGTACATTCTTGGTTTAGTGAAGGCAAAATCTATCGTTTCAACTGAAAAACAAGGCTTTTCAGCTTATTTCTAACTTTGATTTTTCAGGTTTTTAGACTTTATTGAAATATTTAAATCTTAAACTTCTATTTATGTTTGTATTATAACAATATTAACCAGGTACATATTTAATAGCATTTAAAAAGAAGTTTTGTAGTTATGTGCAATACTGTGACATTAAATATCGGGAGAAGTGTATAAAAAATGACAGAAAACTTCAAAAAAATGAGATCGACTAAAGAATGTAATTTAGTGGCATTTTTATGATTTATAGATTTAAGTATCTAAAATTAATTCTTAAGTTCTTAAGAATACACTTCATACACAAAGTTGTATCTGTGGGGGAAGGGGCAGTATGATAAAAATAAAGCAAATAAGAATCACATTTAAAACAAGTTTGGGTATATTTAAAAGTGTATATACAAATTTAAGCAATGTATTGTTGGATGATTTAATTGTTAATGTTATAAACAATAATAGTTGATAGATAGAAAAATAAAATTATAATTTTACATGATAAAAAAATATTTATACTATTGTAAGTTTATAATTTTAAACAAGATAAAAAAAATTTTATCTTAAAAAATATCAAAAAATGTTATAAGAAAATTGTTCAAAACTTTAAAAGCTAAATAATTTTCAAAACCAATTGCTGGTCTTTTTTTAAAATTATTTTATGCTTTAAACCTATATGGTATATTAAAAATGTAATTTTATACATATGACTTAATTTGATTATAATTATCAATTCCTTAACTTAAAAAAATATTCAAGTTTGATATTATCATAGGCAAAAATTGGATACACTAATTGGTGAGAGGGAGGGGGGAGTATTGGTGGCTAAAATTTAAAATCTGTCTACATATTTTGTCATATAATATAAAAATTCCAAATAAGTAATAACACTACTTCAATCTCATAAAAAATAATATAATGACATTTTTAAATAAATAAGATATTGTATATAATTTCATAACTAATAAAAAAGTAAACTCCTTTTCTTGATTTCACACAATAAATATATAAGTCATGTTAATTAATATTCATTAAGTTACCTTCGTGCGCATGTACAAGTGTGTCGACTACGTAGATCCCATCAGAAGCATAGTCTAATATCCACCAAATGGTCGGCATCGCGTTGTTCAGCTCCCAGAATACGCCTCTGCCGATTACAAATACCAAGTTGTAGAGAATTGTGACAGTTACTAACATAAGCCACTAAAAAAAAAAAGAAAAAATTTAAAATTTAATAACCATACAATAATAATTGTATAATAGCATTATTACGTCACTAAGTCATGTTATATATTTTTTGGTAAATGATAAGTTCCTGATGGTTTTTGGGTTACGGACAATTGCGCCATTATATTTATAAGTGGGTGGTCTGGACCATTTGGATAGAACTTTTTTTATTATAGTTTCTTTAGCAGCGTCGGTCCTTGGTAGTTATATATTTAAATCTTCGTTTTTTATTATTATATTATGGCTATTGGTCAAAATAATGATATGTTAGAATGCTGTTCTCTGTACCTATATATTTTTTGTTCATTATATAATTTATATTTATTCATATAATAATATTATTCACTGAACAATTATAAACAGACTGGATCTAGACTTCACACAAATTTATTTAATTTAAAAAATTAAAATACTTATATTAACATTAAGTATACATAAAGTTATGAAATGTAAATTCATTACAACGTAATAATTCTGTTGAAAAATTCAAATGACTCCATGAATACATAATATGGAATTTAATGAACTTTTAATTTTGTTTGGCAAATTAAATTAAAATAGTGAGTCTTATATTAATAAAAAAATTAATTAAATAAGTAAAATTTGTTTATTAACTTGAGTATATGAAAAAAAAATTGAAAAAATTGACCTATATCCTATAAGTATATTTCAAAAATACAATTTTATAAATGAGTTATTAAAAAGCTATGTTGAGATATTGCGTACGAGTATAATATGATGTTTTTGTAATTGTTTTAGTTTTTAGCTAAATTTTCATTATCGGTTTTATTTATTATATTTATTTAACGGCTTGAAACTGAGTACTACTGTTCAATACATTAATCTTTTTAGATTGTGATTTTATTTTATTATATAATAATAGTATCATATTAAATATTTATGTATGCATTTAAAAAATATTGAAGGACATTATGTTTTATTCATAGAAATTAAATGTAGTATTAAAATTATGTTTTATAATTAGTAAAATAAATGTCAATTAAAAATAAATTAGTAAAATATTCAGTACAAACTAAAAGCTGGAGTAATTCAATTAGTATCATATTACCTACATCCATATATTGTTGAAAAGTTAAATTATATATTGTTGTAACCCAGTGAATAATTATTTTGCTTATATTATCCTTAAAATGAAATAATTTTATGTTAAAATTATTATCATAATTAAATTTATTTATTTTGATTTGTGATGAGTAGTTATTTTATAAAATTATGTTAAAAACAGTTTAAACTTTACGAGTACACCTGAATGACATGATAATATTATTTTGCGCATAGATGACCGGTCAGACCATTCTAGCTTTATTATATTTTTAAAAAATAATTAACGTGACAATTTTTCAAAAGTTTGTAAGTTATGACTCATCAATTAATTTTAAAATAAATAAAAAAGATTAGTTTTAAAGAAATAGCTTCATTTATAATTATTTAATTATATTATTATAAAATTAATTTTAGAGACTGAGGCGTATATATTATATACCTTGTGTTAAGCAATTTAGGAAATATTGAATTTCTTGGCTGGATTAAATTGGAATAAATCGAATTATTTTTCACAAGTTAGTGGTACCTATATAAATTTTAACATTTTTATTATTTCTGTATGCGCATGTGCAATAAAATTTTTTTTTTTTTTTTGGATAGTAACACTTATTTTGAACTCTATATTCGAATGGGGCTATTTTTTTAAAGTTAATTTGATGTATCAACTATGATTCTAAATTAAAAATTTACTAAATAAAAGCCATTTCCTTTTTAATAAATAAATACATTTTTACAATTAATTTAAGTGTATAAAATAATTTATAATTATTTATTATTGGTTAATTTTTGAATGTTTTTACGTATTTTTTTTTTTTTTTTTGTATGTGTTATAAATAAGACCTATTCAATAACCAGCAAAATCAATAAATATTACTCCACTTGATTTTTTTTATGGGTAATTTAAAAACGATAGTTTACAAAGATCTACCAGTTAGTCTTGCAAATTTAAAAAAACAAAATCGTGGTTGCGTGTATTGTGTAATAACATAACTGAAAGTCAAATAATGTCAGAAAAAAATAGAGAATATCTACAATTGTGTGTAGAAAATAATGGAGAAAACTTTGAGCAATTTATTTAATAAATTATATAATTATAAAATAACTGTTGCGAATAATATTTAATAAACAAATGTACGATAATATGTATACCCAATACCCATATAATGTAAATCTTTTTTATAATACGTAAAAAAAAAATAAACAATACGTAAAAATATTCAAAAATTGACCAATAATAAATTATTTATTTATTTTTTTTATTAGGTAAAAGAAATATATATGTATAAAAGCTATACAAAATTGTTCACAATAAGTATTAATGATGTAAGTGGTTTACATATCGTGAAAGAGGTGTGATATAGGAGGGCTCCCAATGGAGCTACCTACTTATAAATAAATAATTATAAATGCTTTTATGCATTTAAATTAACCGTAAAAATGTATTAATTGATTAAAAAGAAAATGGCTTTTATTAGGTCAGTTTTTAATTCAGAACCATAGTTGATACATTAAAATTACTTAAAAAAAAAAATAGCCCTATTCGAATATAAAGTTCAAAATAGGTGTTTCTATTAAAAAAAAAATATTTTTTTTTATTGCGCATGCGCATACTGGAATGATAATCATTTTGAAATTTATCTAAAAATGTGTATTTATCACTAGCTTGTGAAAAATTCGATTTATTTCATTCTAATCCGGCCGAAAAATTCAATATTCCTTAAATTGGCGAACACGCGGTAAATATATTATATAAAATTTCATAAAACATAATTTAATTTTGATAAATTTACATTTCAAAAATATAAATAAATTTTACAAAAAATAACATATAGGTTTGCCTAAGGCATATTGACATTGATATCAACTTAAACAAAAAAAATGTTGTAGAAATATTCAATTAAAAGGATACGTAAGTCAATATTGGACCTTAAAAAATATATCTTCTGTCGTTACATTTAAGTGATATCATTTTATTAGGGTAATAAATCTTTTCCAACATAAAAAAGAATTCAAAACTGTACATTAATTTTTATTTTTATTTATTCGATATTTTATTTTAAATTTAAATTAATTTTACATCTCAGCTACGTCTCAAAAGAAATGAATGTAGATTAGTTAGTGATGAATTGTTTATAAGATTCGAGTCTCAGTGTAGGTATATTCGTATATAGCTTGAAAAATGCCACGCAAAGAAATTAATTGAAACCATTAGGTATCGTCGAAGAACAATAGACACAACTAAATAGTATGAATAATGAATGTATATAAACACAATCAATCATTATAATATACTCTTAGAAAATTTTAGTCTCGGGTTATGTAGTTAATTAAAACTTTTATAATTTTAGCAAATCGAAAAGTTATTAGGAAAATTTGAATTTTACTATTATTTTAGCTTTATAGAAAATCGTTAGAATATGTGAGTAAATATTTCAAGCTTAGTGATATTATTTATTTTAAATTTTTAATGGTTTTTAGTAATAACTATATTGATAAAAATTAGAGATAATTCAATTTATTTATATTGAGTAATATTACAAAATTATTTTGTATAGCACACGATTCGTATGTAAAAATACAAAGTGTTAATGATTTTTATCATTTAATATTTTAAATAAATTTTGTTATTAATTTATAAAGTTATTTAGTTATTGCCACTAATGTTTGTCGTAATAAAGTAATTATATAATTTTATGAATATATCATATCTTTAAGTGTATCAATAAATCTTTGTATAAATTATGTACGTAATTAATATTTTTGATTTTTTTTTAATTCACTGACACAAATATAAATTTAATAATGGCGACATTTTTAAGTATCTAATATTTTCTCGATAGCTATATTATGATATTTAAATCATAAATGAAAATATCAAACTTAGTTTTATACTACATATACATATAATGGGTCAGTTTAGTAATCATTCGTCATAATATCATATTATGTAAATAAAATATCAAATGAAAAATGACATCGTTTGTTACTGTACTTCTGAGACGCTTGAAATATATAATATTATGCGGCGTGTACCAGGTAGTCATGTGAATTAGAAAATTATACTATAAAGCAAATTCAAAGTATTGATTTTTTCCTGACATATCACTTGGGAGGTCCTTTGCTATGTATCGTGTTGTGATGGTAGTGGAGTGCAATGTGTTTTAGCATTGCAAAATATGACTGAAATATCCACTGGGAAAAATCGTAGACATTTTCAAAAGACCAGATGTACCTATTAGATATAACATATCAAAGTCATACAATATGTAAGGATAATGGATTATTTGGATGATTTTTAATAATTTATGAGCCAAAATAAATAATATTTTATTTACACAGTAGTAATATACTTATCATCAGATGATATAAATTAAAGTTTTGTTAAGAATTCAACTGTTGTATTTTATAAATAATATTATTTTGAATAAAGTTTGTTATATTTAAATAATATTAAAGATTTTTATTTGTATTTTATTGCATTGGTATTCATTTCATTGGATTAAGTATTTATTAAATTTAATTTTAACTTGTTTATTTTAAATTTTGCATTAAGAATTACCTATAAATTATATTTTCTATACTTACTGATGTGGCATTTTAATAGTAAACAATATCATGTTATATATTATGAAAAAGTTAATCAAATAAAAATAATAACAATTATTTTTGTCATTGGTGCTAGTTCAAAAAAAAAAATAAAAAATTAATAGCATACTGACATATTAATATAATATACAAAAAATTCAATAACAAAATGCGAATTCCTATTAGAAATAGAGATTTATTTTTAAAATTGTAACGTTGTGATTTTTTGATTTATCTTAATATTTACATTTTCATCATCATGAATTATTCAATACAAAAATATTGTTAGAAAAAAAAAAACACGATTATTACTCTGCTGTAAGCAA